GTCATACAGACCAGCAGGGGTGTGTGAGTCACTACTCAAACAAAGCAATCGAGTTTCTGTCTACGTGAATGTGACAGTGTCCAATTGTTTGCTCCAAGGAACGTCACTGTACAAGCCACACAATGGCCAGGTGAGAGTGGGGTAGGGGTACCACACACACACACACACACACACACACACACACACACACACACACACACACACACACACACACACACACACACACACACAAATACCCTGCCATGCTGTGACCGAATTTCCCTCACCCACATGTTCTTGTCAAACAGTGAATGTGTGGGCGGACTGAACTTAACTGTACAACAGCATCTGAGCGGCAAAACTTAAAGGACCTGAGCGGCAGTGTGTGTGAGTTGTGACAGTAACAACAGTGCAGGGACAGTGTGTAGAAGCTGCACTCTCAGACCTGCTCAGCCCTTACAGCGATAGTTGGTGCTAATTAAAGCTTTGCTCCTGGTAATTGCCAACAGCCAAAACTTAATTTTAGGGGGTTTGCTGGGGAAAATCTGTATATTCTACACAAACCTCTGCTGCAACATATAATTTAGCAATCCTAAAAGAAACTGAATATAGAAAACTACAGAATGTTCCTTTATTTAGATGAGCCACTGGTTTACTTTTTGAAAGACAAGGGACTGTAAATCATGAGTCATAAACACACTAGGATCCCATAGGATTGGTATTGTTTTCTCCCCAGTGGCTGCTGACATTTACACTCCCAGAAAGACACAACATGTACACCTCTCACTCATAAAACAGCTCAAAGCCAAGAGGGAGAGAAAAAAAAAAGACTACCCTAGTTGCTATTATGTAAACAGCAACGTGCGCGGCTTCAATTATAATGACTTTAATTCTTTGTTGCTGTTGATTTAACGTTGAGCACAACAATTTTCATGCTGCCCATAATGACTTAATGGCAACAGCCATTACTGAAAGTAATTTAATGGTGGATGACTCAGATGAGCTCTCCTCTAAAATATTTACAGCATTCCCAAGCTTTCAAGAGTCACACTCATTGCTAACCCTTCTCAGTTAAAAGAGGATTTATGGAGGGCAGCGACACTAGTTGTCACTAGAAAACAAATGCTTAAAAACTTAAGTGGGGATAAAAGCCGGTCCCGCTCATAATTGTGATCTTCGCGATCATTATGGCGGACACATGCGCAGGTGCAGTACTCTCAGCACGCTCACGTGTGCATGTGTGTACTGATCCTCGCCTCCACAGCCTCTGCTGAAATGAGATCTCTCCAGTGTTCCTGCGTGATTTTATTGTCTTCATGGTCTGTATTGTAGGCACCCACCCACTACCTCCTCCCTCAGAGCAGCTGGATAAAATACACTTGATGGTGAGCCAAGAAGTGTGCTTTTTTCCTCTCTATGCCTGAGTTGCAGGGTTTTATCTTTCTCCATTCATCAGTCCTGCCCATGTACAATGATCTCCCGCAGTCTCAGCAGGATGCAAACACAGAGAGGAGACACAGGGCAGCAATTGCCCATGTCAGGGAACAGGAGAGCTGCCACTTCTGCTCTGGTTTCATTGACTGGGATGCTACTGGCTCTGCACCCCCCTCTGCTGGTGGCTCTGCAGTACTCTCATAATACAATGTTTATTGCTTCCCACCAACAGGGGTGGGGATGTGTGCTGTTAATGTGTGGTGTGGTCATCTATTTCTACCAAAAGACCTATTGCCAGTGAGAGATTGTCATACCAATTCCATAGAGGTTAAACAGAAACCTTGAATCTCACAGTTCCCCGAGTCAACACTGTGCCGGCAGAAAAAACTGTGACCACACATTTACTGCAACTGGAAGAAATGAAACGATTAGCTTCAATCAAGGAGTTAAGTCCTTTGAAGCAGTTAGAAAAAGGACAGACACATGATGACAGCTGGGAAGGTAGGGGAAGTCACATGACATCACAGTCACATGTTATGTCATGTGAAAATAGCACTACTGAGGACCTTCATGGTTATTAGACTTGCAAGTATTCATGCCTTTCCTCAAAGAGATGGGAATTAGCGAAGAACTGCTGATGTAATGTATTTGATACAGTTGTGTGATTCACTGTGTGCTGCTCTTTAACAATATAACATCTTGCGGTGTCTGTTCAGTTTTGTCTGTCTTTTCTAACTGTAGAAAGATGCTGAAATATTTAGTAGAATGTCAAACAGTAGTTATGTAAAGCCATAAATCAGCCACTGAGGAACTTTCCAAAGCTTTCAGGTTCACTTATGTTTTCCAGAGCTTTATTTTCAGCAGCAGCGTTTATGTTAACAAAAATATTGATATTTGTTATCAATACAATGATCCAACACTGCATGTGAAATATTGCACTACTATTCTGCTCTGATTTTTCTGGTTCGTTGATAACTTAAGACCACTGGTACCCTCTGCTGACCGTTAATGGCCATGACCTGGTCAGTTATAACCATCTGACAAAAAATTTATGAATCCATTATTTCAATCAATTTCTTACAGGCTGGCTCATTTACTGAAAGCAAATCAAAGTAGATTTGATCATGATATACAACAACTGTATATATATATATATATATATATAGTCCTGCAAGTTCAACTAGTGTATTTGTTATTATCATTTATTATTTTTTGCCTTCACAAGTTCCGTTCAAGTTTCTGTAAAGTGAATTCTTGTATTAGCAAACAGGGAATTCTTGCCATTTTTGTTGAAAGAAAATCACTTAAAAGATTAAGATCTACTCAGCTCCTCACAATCAGGCAGTTTGCAGAAGTGAAAATGCATTAAGGTGTTTTACCAAACTGGAGACTGAATGAGAAGCTGTGCAATAAAAGTTCACTGTAGCGCTCCCCTGAGCCGCTGTATATCTCTAGTGGTGCACTTGTATACCACTTACAGAGTAATTGTGGTGGTGTTCTTTCCAAATGTTGACATGGGTGTAAAGGCCCACTTCAGTATTCATTTCTTATGGACAGGAAGAAAAACAGTGCCAGACAGGTCAAGCTGCAAGTGTTAGAGTTTTAAGTTTGTGGGGACATCTGAGCAAGTGTTCTGAACTTGTTTGACCCAGTTATAATCACTGACCCAGTCCTAGTTCCTAAAACCAGGACAACATGTCTGCTGGCACTCTCCAGAGTTCACTTACCACAGAAATTCTTTAACTTTTTTACTGTCAGAAAACAGAAATATCTTGTCAGGATGCAGAAATCTACAAAATCACTTAGGAATCTCAATGGCTTCTTTTAACAGCGCTTCTACAGAAAAGAAGATGTATAATTATAATTCTCTGAGGTCAGTTTTGTGCTTCTTACTTGTGGTTTAGACTCTCATTTGAAGAGAGGAAACAGATACTAGATCAGACAGAGCTCCTTATATAAACAAATATGGTTAGACTAATAATTTAGGCCAATATTGGGGCGCCCCGGTAGCCTAATGGTTAAGGCGTATACACATAACCACAGAGCCCACAGTTTGACTCCTGGCTGGAGATCCTGTGTTGCATGGCCCCTCTCTCTCCACATCTTTCCTGTCTACTTCTACACTGACTAATGAAAAACAAAAAACAACTAAGGCCAATATTACACTACACTTTTATCACCCAATTAAAGACATTTATCTTCAAAGTAATTAAAAATCCGCACTTTATTTAATCAGGGTGTCTGACCAGAGAATTCATTCCCCTGTGGACAAACTAGATTGCCATCAACAGGTTCAGCTTTGTCTGTCTGTACATACCTCTGCAATGTATAGATATTTGTAGAAGTGTTTCATGGTTTAAACGCATTTCCATCTAACAAGAAGTCCATTTGGTGGGAAACAGAATGCTTAAAAGTGTGATTATATTCAGGAGCGTACAAGATAAACAAAAAAAAAATAAAAAAAATTTTTTATCCGAACATATGCACAAAAACACCTTCTATCAGTAGATTGAATCTAAAAATATCTGCACCAGTATCGGCTTTTAAAAAACAATATCAGTCAAGCTCTATAAAAAATGCAGGACAGCAGCTCCAGCAAGGAGCACCAAGTTCTGTCATGAACCCAATGACACCACAACCTGCTGTAGCAGCCCCGCTCACTAGATGGCGACATCCTACTCTAAACCTTCCAGAAAAAGAGAGCTGGGCCACTGAGGGAGAGTAGAAAGAAACTCTCAAATTACATTTTGGAGCAACGAAGTTTGGCTTTTAAAAACAGCAGAATGGAGGACACACACTTCAAAGTTTCCAGTTCAGCTCCACTGGGCAAGGGCACACGAGTGCGACAGTGGACTCCCCTGATGACAGATGGACTCAGAGCAGACAAGCAGATGTTTTGAGACCCTGATCTGATCAGCAGTAGAGACCCAACACCTCCCCGCACTCATAACTGAGCAAACACACTGAGAGACGAGGAGACTTGAAAACAGACAGACACACAAACAGAGAGAAAGAGGAAGGGAGACTTAAAGGGGGGAGTAAAAGGGGGACTGAGAGCAAGGGAGAGACATATAAAGGAGAGCAAGCAAGGGGAGGGAGTGTAAGAGAAAGTGAGAGTGAGCGACACAGTGGGGAGCAGGAGAGCGGGGAGAAAGGAAAGAGAAAGAACTCAGAAAGGGGGAGGGAGAGTGTTTTTATCCTCATGTGCACCCAGTCAGAGGGGTCAGTGAGTGCGATTGTTCCTGGACTGCCTGTCAAAACAGTGTGGCTACCACAGCGTCTATTCATCTCCGCCCCGCTCTGAAATGCACGCACGCACAAACCCATAGGCTCCTAACACACTCACATATGCATGTGCAAATGCACGAGGAGCCTCCGAAAGCTTTTAATAATGCTCTTATTAAAGCCTTAGCAACAACCCAACAACAGCATCAACACAGCCCTTTTCAGACCTGCGTCACTGCACCACCATCTTCCACTGTGTTTGAGTTTCAGCTCTGTCATAAACATGCACAGGCAAGTGAATAACTGCAGTGTGAAAGTGGGGGGCAACTTGTTGTGGAGAGACACAGAAAACGTTGTCTTACCAGGTAAAGGAGGAAGGTGTGCAGGCCGGTGCCAAGACCCACCGAGGAGAGGATGCCCAGGCCGACCCAGTAGGCGCACCACAGAGTCTTCTTCTCCATGTAACACACATACTGCAGGGGCCAGAGAGAGGGACGGTCAACCACATGGCAGAGACACATGCACAGAGTGTGAGGAAAACAAGAAGTGTGTGTGGGGGAGGAGGGGGGGAGGGGGGCACAGAGAGAGGAGGGGAGGGACAGAGTGAGAGAAGGTGCGAGAGTGAAAGTGTGCAGTACAGAGGGCACTTTACAGGGTGGGAGAGGGCAAGTGAGTGGCGGATAAAGAGAGGGAAAGGAAGCGAGTGAGAGAGAGACCTTCAGAGACAGAGGTTGTTGTTGAGTTTAGAGGACAGAGCCGAAGGGTAGGAGTGTACAGCACACTGACAGAAGAACAGCACCATTATTCTTTTTGGTGGCAGCCAGCTCTTACACAACTAGTAAAGTAAGACAAGCCAAGATCTCTCTATCTTTCTCTCTCTATGTTCCTCTTCCTCCCGTCCGTCCACCGCTATCGCTCCATCTATCACTCCGTTTACACTTCCTCCCCTGAGCCAAGGCAGGTTGTTTTCAGGAGGAAGCATGGAGTGTCTAGATTACGGGAAGAAGGGAGGGGATTGACGAGTGGGGAGTGGAGGTGGGTGGGTGGGTGGACGGTGGGGGCTCTGACCGAAGACTCCATTTCCCAGGAAACCCGGCAAAACAAATACAGCACAAACTGCCTCTCTATTTGCTGGCAGAAAGCTGGGAAGTGCAGTGCCAGCCATGGGCGATTTGTTACGTGTAGTTACTGAGAACTGATTACACAACTGCTGAGTCTCTGCGTATAATGTAAAAAAAAGGTTTTATGGTTGTGGGTTTCAAAATACTACAGCTCATGACAGGAAAAAGTGAAGAAAAAAAGGGGAGGGAGGGGGGTGTTTCTAGTTAGATCTATCGCACAGTACACTCAGACTCACAGCTCTAGTAGTTTGCCCTACAGACATGAGAAATTAACTAGTAAAACTAAGCTTTGTGGGAAGGTTATAATTAAGCAGATGTGATGTAGGCACACTCACACAAGCACACACTTGCTAGATGATGTTCCTGCAGGTATCCTCTCAGGGGCACTCCTCTCCTGTGCTTTGCAATATAAATCTCAACCTCTGGGAAAATTGCACGATAATCAAACTTGTAACTGCTGTTACTGCACTTACGACAAGTGCTTGGTTGAGTGTCTTGCTTAAGGAAACTTTAACCCATGGACAGGAGGAACCTGATATTAAACATCACCGTGCAATGCACATTACATTCAGTGTTATGGTGGTAAAAAAAGATCAAAAATTTAGAAAATTATACCCTCCCTTAAAAGACCCAGACTTTCTAACTTACATCAACATGGATCCGTTCTACAGTGCTCACTGCCTTCTCACAATTCATGTCAATTTATGAGTTAAGGTGCTGAACCCGCCACTGCACCAAAGTATGGTTATAATATCCGATGAAAAATATTTACAGTATTAAGTCACCTTCTGGTGTGTTCCTTCAACCCGGTAGGCAATGGAGAGGAGGATAAGCAGGATCAGTAGGCCAAACACAGTCTGTCTTTGCTGCCAGAGCCTGGATGAAGAAGGAGAAGAAAAGAATGAAGGTGGAAATGATGGATGCAAGAGTGGGGAGAAAGTGAGTGAGTGAGGAGGAGCAAGTAATAGGGCAGATGAAAAAAGGTGAGAAATCATTGAAAGCATGATTGAGAAAGTATTAGTGAGAGGACAGGATGCAATTTTCATCTCAACTTTGGAGGATTGGACTTTTGCATTTCTATTTTAAGGGAGAGAGAGACATCTGCTGGAAACTAATCAAGCCACTACAGTACAAGTCTTCACCAACAGGAGCAGCATGTCAGTTGGATAACACACATGTGGTCTCTACACTGCATAAATATGTAAACGTTTGGTACTTAATGTGGTAACCCGATCTTAACAGTGTATTGAGAACAGGGCATGTTAGCTGTTTACACAGTTGGGTGATTAAAAAACACTTAATCACTGATGGTTGAGCGTGTGGTTTATGTGTATGCTGTTATTAAGAGATAATGGATTCAGATTCATGACAAATTAATGACATAAGAGCTAAAACCTTAACACTTTAAGACTTTTTACTTATCCTGATACCCTGAACTAAATTAGCTAGTACTTAACTTACCTCACACACGCAAGTTTTCCAATATTTTCCTACTGTCGTTGGTGGAAACTCACAACATTTATTCAAGTACTCTACTTAAGTATAATTTAGAGGTACTCATGCTCATTTCAGTTTTATGCCACTCTCACTCATCAGAAGCAAATATTGCACTTTTTACTCCACTAAATACATCTATTTGATATAGTTGCTACTTACTTTACAAATTAAAACTTAACGTGTAATACTTTGAGACTCATAAGGGGAGATTTTTCGGCATCACTGGTACTTACTGTGATATGGTCCCATATTTTACAATTTCCGGAGTTTTATTTAAAGTTTTGACATCCATAAGAAGATATTTGTGGTTTTGAATACAAAAAACCATCTCAGTGTAGTTTTTTAACTGCTCTCTCACACCTCTTTCAGGTCCTCTAGCAGTAAGGTATTTAGCCTAGTACTGTAGCTTGGTAAAACTCACAGGTGAATGCATGGAATGGATGAACAGACGGTCAAATTTGGACTAAAAATAAACTTTAGTGGTCTCTAATATTAGCCTACTTACCTTGGAAAGGCTGTGCAATGATATACTGACTATTGTTGTTGTTATCAATATATGGTGTGTCTGGGTGGGCTGTGCTGTGGGTGTGACTGTATAGTTGTGACATCACAAAGTTGCAGAAATCCTCACAGCTCATTTACAGGCACAGTTTTTGAATACAGGCTGTTGTTTGCATTTCAATGTGGACTGAGCATTTTTATATTTTCACATTATTTATATAGCACCTACACCTTTAGTATAATAGAAATACACTCTCTACTATATGGGATCTTTAACGTTTCATTTTGATGATAATATGTAACTTAGGTTTACTAAAAGAAATATATAATTTCACTTAAGAATTTCTATTTACTATTTGCTAAGCTAAATTTGGTTAGCTGACGTTAGCATTCAGAATCAGTTTGATGTTCAGCTAACCTTAGCCTTAGTATAAAGCGGCTAACGACACTGGCTCAATGTTTAATGCAGTAAACGTTATCTACCGGTGGTGACAGGATTCAGTCAGTCTGAACGGCCGACATATTTGTTTCTCCTTCATTAATTAACTTACCGGTGTGATGAGCAGATGAATTCCGCCTGTGTAAAATGAGCATGACGTAAGTTCACGGAAAGAACCGAGTAAATCACGAGCATTACATTCCAAAGCTCGGGAGTCGGCGGTGGTAATGGATGGTGGTTAGGGTAAGGCTGAGCTCTTGTTAAGCATCATGACACAAGACTAGTTTCAGGTTGAGGTAAGTAGAAATATCGACGGGGGAACAGACTTCACTCCGCCCAGAATCTACTCCTGCGCCTTGGGTAAGGCCAACCTCTCCACAACCCCAGGTGCGGGTACTTGGTTGAGTTAATTTAAAGGGACATTTCGTCCTGTCTCGCATAAAATTATGGCTGTGGTGAAGGGAATCAAAATCAAGTGCAGAGCCACAGCACTGAACTGCACGTTGCCCTGAGGACTTCCTGTACACATGCTATAAATTACAAACCACTCCTGTCAAGATTCAGGATAAACTTCTGTGTACACTTGTAGACTAAGCCATAATGTGTTTGCAGCATGTACAACAGCATGTGTTTTGAGTGTTGGTGAACAGCAGCCTCCCTCAGTCAGAACACTGCTCATGGTGCTTGCGGCTCACCACATCCTCTTGTAGTTTAGAAAATAAACACGTTGTCCTCACACACTTAACCACAAAGGCCTCCCTGGGAGTACATTCTGACCTTCTTTTGGGCTCCTGGTGTCAACAAAGAGTGTTAGGTGTGTAAAAGACATGTGCAGTGTGGGGGAATTTGTCATCAAAGCAAACTGACATAGTCTGGTCTGTTGCTGTTTCTTTGTTGATGAGGTAACATTGGTCAGTGACGTGGAAAGACCTTTTCAGCTCTATCAACAGTAAGGTGATAGAAACATCCTGTGATGAGTCTTCTTTTCAGTGTTCTAACTTTCATTAGGCCTCTGACTGAAGACTAAACAATGATGGAGAAGGCCCTCTGGGTTGATAGCACTGAGAAGGTCACCTACTGTGTGGTGTTATGTGTGTGTCTGTGTTTCTGTGAGGGACAGAGTGTGAATACTGTGGTGGCTATTTTTTTTCACAGCCATCATATCTTCTTGTTGCCTGACAAGCGACACCTATAAAAATAAAACTAACACCACAAAAGCACTGTTTATCTGATGTCTGCACTACAGCAGGGTCAGCACATGAATATACTAAAATCATTATCTAGGCCAGTGGTTCCCAACCTGTGGGCCGGGGTCCCATACACAAATGTATTATATGTGCATATGTTGAATTTATGTATATGACATATATGTGCATGTAAAATAAAAGCACATGTGTAAAAATTAGATATGAAACCTATTGGAAGTTAGAACATATAGAAGCTGTATATGTATGTTGTTTTAATAAGCTTAAATATATCATATATGTATATGTATATATATGTATATAACATATATGGTCGCAACATGTTATACCATATTAAAATTAATCGTAGACACTTTTTAATATGTGTACATATTTAAATTTTGCTATGGGTATTTCATATGTTATAAACATATTTTTATGTATCTAGAGGATGTATATATGTCATAATAATATAGGTGACAAATATGGCATCATCATCACTCTTGATATAGGGACATTAATGTCATATATTACATTTCTGTATCGGGTGCGCCGCCAAGGTATTGTGGGCGGACAAATCATTTGCAAAACAGCAAGGACAATTTTGAAAATTTTAAATGTTTTAAAATGAAATGATCTTTAAAAACATTTAACATTTTTTCTTCTTGTATTGAGGTATATCAGCCAATGATAGAAACTTTAATGTTGTTGCTGGCCGGACCGCCTTGTACACTTGTTTGCTATCTCAGTCTGATTGAGCACTGAAAGATCACATCCATGGCAACAACTACGAGATCAACATGGATAGCTGGTTAGCAACAGGAAGAATTCAAATGAAAGGGTCGAGCCAGATAGTGAATCGAAAAGTGATCTCTCCCCCTTCATAGAAAATAAAAACCTCCCCTGTTTTCAGTTCAGTCCTGACTGTTCCATCATTATCATAAAAATAAAAAGTGCTCTGAGAAAGTATTATTTGTCCACTGTATTGTTACTGGGTCGGATGTGGGCCGCCAACATTTTTGAGATTTTCAAGTGGGCCATGAGATGGAAAAGGTTGGGAACTGCTGATTAAGGCTATATGATGCTTTCTGGCTGCACATTAGTAGAGTAGCATGTCTAAACATACAGTACATTATGCCCCAAGTTTCTTTTTTTTTTAGAGCTTGAACTGAAACACCTCAAGTGCAGTTTTTAAGAAACAAGGCAGTGTTTTGGGGGGATGTTGCATCCCACCTCTGGCCTCACCTTGACATCCATTCTTTAAGAGTGATGAGCAGCTCCAGAGTGAAGTAGTGGAGTGTGAATAGCGGTTTCTTCCATAACACCAGGGTTTCACGCTCCTCCCTGTCCCTCTGCTTTCTCTCGTCCACAGGGAGCTCTGGGCCTAGCCACACAAATAAACATACAAGGAGTGGATGTTTCTAAAATAAAAGTCATACAAATACAATCTTTTCAAAGTTACTTTAATGCTGATGTATTAGTGTCTGTTTTTACCCGTCAGCTCTCCATTTCTCTGTTCCTTGACATGAAGACACCTCTGAGTTAGTTCCCCTTCCGCACCGCTCTCCATCTTGTTCACCAGGAAGGAGTCCTGCTGAGAGAAGAGACGGGTCTCTAGTATAGCATCATGTGGTCTTTTCAGTACACCGTTGGCTGAATCTGAAACTGATGTGAGCCCACAAGAAGTACAAACTCACACGCATCAACACACAGCACCCCCAAACACTCTCCACACTCCAACATGTCTGTATGCACTCCCACACACCTGCTGACCAGCCAGTGTTGTCCTGCTGCTGCGGCCTGCAGATTACTGGTAACCCAATCAGGCCTGTACATGACCTAATGAGTACTTTAATTAGCATCAATGTTGACAGTGAGAGCACATGCAAGTCTTGTGAATTTTTCTGTGTGTGCTCTTAATTATAAGTCCACCTCCCCTGGTGATCAGGAGACTTACACAGTGGATGGAAGAGTGATATGTATAAACAGTGGGTAAAGAGTATGAGACAATATTTAGCTTTTTGTCTCTTCATTGCATTTACTCAAAGGAGAATCACACACCTTCATACAGAAGCCTACAAGCATGTGCACAGAGTGTCTCACTACACTCACTTCAGGTCTCTTAGGAATCTGTCAGTGAGCAGTGAGATGGGGACTCTGACACGGAGGTATGCAGCTCACCATCTGGTGGAATTGTCAAAATCTCACGCACACACACACACACACACACACACACACACACACACACACACACACACACACACTCAGAGCTTAATCCCTCTATCCTGTGCCCTATGTCTGGGCCTCTGGCTCCTGTTTCCATGCATTCACACTGGCTGGACTGTCAGGTTACCGACACTGTACAGCACTGATATTACAGCTATCCATAATGTTTCTTTAAAACCTGTAGGAGTTCAATTGATACAGTCTGAGGTTGGTGAGAAGTACTGCAATGGCAGTGACATTTTTTAATATTTTTTTTATCTTGCTACTGTGCCAAAGGTATAAGATCATTATGTAGGTCCAGGATGTTTAGGTGTCCAGTGTTATCCTGAAGGACAAACACACACACAGTCTGAGCAGTACACAATGAGTACCTTGCGGTCTGATTCGTGCAATTGAAGGTTCACACAGAGAAAAAATAAAATCTTCTCAGACAATTAGACTGCAAGGCTTTGGAGAGCTGCTCCTGGGTCTCTCAGGGAACCATAAACAAAAGCTTTTCATCTCAGACCTTAAACCTTGAGCACACACTAGAGGCACTTTGTCATTTCCACATGCACAACAGTATTTAATACACCCTATCATTTCTCCTCTTGCACCGAGGAGAACAATGCACTGTCCCAAAAACGGGCTCAACAAAGTGCGTCAATGTGAAATATCCTGTCAGAAACATAAATTATAGAAACTGGTGCCAAACAGGACGCTTTGTGCGAAGCGTGCAGCTGCTGGTGTACAAGCATGTTGCCTTAACAACAACAATCAGTTTTATTATTAATTACATTTCAATGCATTATTCACAATAAATACCTGGGAAACAGTTTCATAACAACACTGCCGCTTGTGTGAGACACAGTAGCACAGCGCTGCTCCAGCACCCGATTGCGCAATCGCTTCTACCAAAACAACCGAGACCTGTTGAGTAACTCTTGTGCAAGGGACAATGAGAAACTCAACACGGAATACATACACTTTAGGATGAGAAATACAAGAAGCTGCAATCACTTTCCACCTTTCAAACTGAGATAAACACACTGCACTGACTGGAGGGAGAATTACAAGTGTAAAACAAAGCAGGGCTGTAATGTCACAGTATTGTAGCAACACATTATGCAGAGAGAGTAAACTCACCGTTCAGCTGATGTTTAATCCACAGTGAGCTCTGGGCTCAAATAAAGTCTGTGGTGGAGCCCCAGTAGCAATGTAGGGCAAAAGTACGTTACCCATGAACTGCATCATAACTTGAGTGCAGGGTGTGGTGATGGAGGGGGCCAGTGAGGGATAGAGTACTGATACAGGGCTGCCGGGGGAGGGGAGAGAGCAGGCTGACGGAGGAGAGACACAGAAAAAGACAGAAAGAGGGAGAGACTTCATCGTTTGCCTGATAGATCCTCCAGAGAGCCAGTCTAATTAAAGGTCTATAAATAAGTGGATCTCTTTCCTGGAGCGCACTTCTAACACTCCTCAGTCCTCAGTAGGTTTCACACAGAGAGTGAATGAATGGCATTTGAGCAAAGAGAGCTCAGCTAAAACCCAAATTAAAAAAAAAAAAAAAAAAAAAGCCTCAGGACATCACATTTTCAGGTCATAACTAGAGACAGAAGTCCTCAATGGTATTTTCATGTTTGAATTTCAGTGTCGCCTTGTTTATCAGAGTGAGAGAAGTATTTTGCATCACTTTGTGGTGATTGTTCTCCACCAGGTCACCCTGTTCCCACTGGTGGAAGCTGTTTCTAATTGGGAATGAACACAACTCAGAGTTTATGAGTTACTGTCTCTTGGGACAAGGACAAGATCTCCGGTGTCATTTACAGCATCACCATAGCGCTTAAATGACAGTGTATATATTCTACACTCAAGTGCTAAACACGGATGATATCTGCGTCAAGCACAGCCTGTGGTGGCTGCTCAGGAGTGTTAGTGCTGAAGTCAGATCAGTTACTTCCTACAAGGTCCTGACCTGTGATATTGCTGAGAAGTCACATTGCTGAGAGGTCATTTAGTTCAGGTTTTTAAAGAAAGTGATTGTCAAAGCAGAGACTGGTGCAGGCCACAGAAACGCGCATGAAAGCAGGAAAGAGAGACAAATTCAGACACTACGACGTGGCAGTGGAGTGTCACAATACTTGAATACATGACAGGGTGAAACAATTTATCATTGTCAAAGTGAAGTTTTTCCTGAATAAATGTATGAACACCCTGGTGAAAACATCCAGTACACTCAGAAAAAGAACAATAGCCTCTTTGTAACACTCTATCATTATAGTTCACTTTCCTGAAAGAAAACAGGTAACATCAAATTAAAACACCCCCTCTGCTATAATACTGGCTTGAGAAATGATGAGATTATGATTAGATCTCATATCCATGTTTTCTAATGTCTTAATCACAGCTCATCGTGTCTTTGGAGCAGAATCTTCCTGAAGAATGAACTTGTACGTAAAGTGAATAACTTTCAAGTTACAACCTTGAAAAGGGTTAGCTAAAAATATAGGCAAATCTCTATATACCAACTGATTCCAGGGCAATGCAATCCCAGAATGCACTGCCAGAAAGACAAGGAATATACATAAGTTCCCAGCTGGTCCATTTCACTTCACGTGCATGTGAACAAGACAAACGTCTCTTCTCAGTCAGCTGACGTTACGCAGTCGTCTCAGTTTACAGCATGATGTGAGCCCATGTTCAGCACATTAACTATGGGCTGGATCTTGGCAGCTGATATTCGTTCCATGTCCTATTTGACAATGTTTATTGCTAAATTACATAGAGCCCAACCTGCCTGACTGTAAGAGGAGTTGTTTGTGCTGTAGGAAAAAAAAAGCATTTGCCACATGTTCATTATAAAATTCAGTTGATTTTGTCGGCAGGTAAAATCAAAGTTACAGACTAATTGTGAAAATGACCCACTATACTTACTTATACTTTACCGTGGTGTACAAACAATACATCTGTTCATGGACATAAATCAGGCTGCAAATGCGCCACTGTCCATTAAACTTCACAGAGACGAAGCAAAAAGGTTCTTCCAAAGCTTTAATACTTATTTTGTGTTTTTTAAAAGATCTTTCTGTAGCTGCACCATTAGCAATAGATATTATTTTGTAAATAAATAACGTAAGTGCATTGCATTATGGGGTAATAAAGTACATCAAGAGCACAATAAAAGAACATCCTTTTTTTAACCATGCACTCTGTGTGTTTTGTGTATAGTTAATGCAGTTTCCCAGTATGAACACAGTACACACTCAAAACCTGTGTCTCTTATTATGATTATAATTGTTGTAGTATTAGTATGAGAATTTATATTATTAGTATCATTGTTATTGTTATATTTTGAATATCATAATGTATGTATTATTATGACATTGCATTAATATAACATGACAGATTCAGATAGCTGGAACTAAGACCATGTTGTTGTTTGTATTTGAATGAATGTGTATAGGGTTGTGCAGGTGTTCCAGATGATTGTGATGTCACAGCATGTGGAATCATGTCTCATTATGAAGACAGTCAGTGGGTTCTTCTCAAGTAGGAAACTGGAGACACATTGCTTTTGGTAAACCAGATATCAGCTATGGATCACGTTGACTTAAATGTGGCTTCAGGGGAAGCAGGTGACGAGATGCTGGGACCACAATTCATAGATGTGGAAGAAATTATTGATGTAAATGAGGAACTACAAGAGAGTGAAGAGGAGGAGCGAGATATCAAGTGTGTATCTCAGCGCAAAATATGGATTATTTTCTCCTCAGTCTTGTTTTAAAATATATTTGATAAAGACGCCTGTCAGTATAAAACTTTATGTTCTGGTGTGTGTCTGTAGTGAACGAGAGGAGCTCAGGAGGAGACTCTGTCTGGTTAAAACCAGATACCGACAGGAGAGGGAGCTCCATGACCACATGTTCAAGCATGGACTGGCACTTGAGGAGCTCATGAATGAGACGGCAGCTGAGAATAAATACCTCACCAGCAAAATGAAAGAGTATGAAACCTAAATGATTTGACTTTACTTTTTTTACCCCTCTGACTCTATAATTCACCATCTACACAGGCTAAATCTTTAATTGGGATATTATAGCTTATATATCCTTGATGCTTGTTTATTCAGGTTCCAACAGCAGATGGCAAACATAAGAAAAATGTGGGAGGAGGAGGATGAAGAAGCTCTGCGCCAGGAGCTTCTGTCTGAGGAGGAAAACACTGTTAAGAGCCAACTGATTTACATGAGGAAGAAGGTGAGTGACATTCTTCTTCTTCTTCTTCTTCTTCTTCATTACTCTGTAATTTATTATACAAGAAAATGAGATGTGAGGGTATGAAACATAATATATTGACAATGTCAATACATTTAAATTAAATACATCCTTGTAAATGAATGTCTGAGCCAATATACCTTTTGTAAGAGAAGTCTAATTTAAAGTTCAGGACTGGTGGGGACCGTATAAAGTGTGACACCAGATTTCCTTATAAAGTTCCTACCAGCCTCCATCTAAACCTGTTTATTTCTTGTCCTGGTTTCATTGCTTGTCTTTGCTTTGTGCAGGAGAAGGAGAATCAGAAGCTGAGAGAGAGAAATGAGGAGCTGACTGCTGAGGTGTGACCTCTGACTCTGCCATATGCTTATTATTACCTCCTCTCTCCTCCTGTGTGTGTCTTTCTCACAATTTTACAGACAAACTTTGCTCTTTAAAAATAATTAAGACACATTTAATGGCTGGATACCTGCCAAAGTAGCAAATAGAATCCTAGAGGAAAACAAAACACAGCTACAACTAAAAAGAAAAGCATTTAGCTGGTGTTTATTTCCCAGAATCCTCCTCTGGATCCCACTCTCATTCTGAGTTGCTTCTTTCAGCTGCACAGAGTCTCTGTGGGAGACATGCATCGGGAAGAAATTCAAACTCTAAGAGCAGCTGAACAGAAATACAAGGTAAAATCCTGTCCTTCACTTATCATTACATATGTAATGATATATTCCTCTACACTGCTTACCTGCCCAAATAGCAGTGTGTAGTAAAGATGCTGAAATAGTGACAGTATGAGCAACTTTATAAAATATTCAACATTATTGATTGTAAAGTTTCTGTAAGCTCCACTTTGAACATCACAGTTGTTGTTGATTTGATGAAAATGTTCAATCTGAGTATCTTTGTGTCTTTGCAGAAATTTGTGATCTTGATTAAAAAAAATAATGAGGAGTACACAGAGTATTTCAACACAATTCAGGTATGTACCAAATACAGAATAATATGTGTATGTATGTGTGTGTGTGTATGTGTGTGTGTGTGTGTGTGTGTCTGTGTGCTCACATCATCATTGTATCTTTCTGACTTTTCATCTTGCCTCTGCAGGACCTCAGGCAGGAACAGAGAGAACTTCAAGATGCGCTGAGCAGCAGACACGAGGAGCATACACTGTAATTTCTGCATTATATTTTTTAATAGTTAATCTGGTAGAACAGTTTCAGCATTTTAAAAGAACCCAGTCTGAATGTAATGCATTTCGGTGGTTGATGTCACTGTAGGATCTTAGACTAGCTAAGTACAACGAGCAGATGTTTGTGTGGAAATGTCTGTTTTCTCACATCTGTCTGTTATTTGGTTTCATAGAGCTGCACTGAATCTCCAAAATGAGTCAGAGACACTAAGTGAACAGAGACAACCACAGGTCTCTTTAGCAGAGGTAAATATAATATCAATTATTTAACATATTCACGCACATTATCATACAAAAAACAAACAAACAACAGCATCATTCTACCAGCAACCACTTCAGCTACTTCCACACTTCAGGAAATACACTTATTAGCTTTCATGCTGAGAGTTGGATGAGATCGATGCCACTTTCATGTCTGTTTCATAAATATGTAGCTGGAACCAGCAGCTGCTTAGATTAGCTGAGCACAAACACTGGAAACAGGAGGGTTTCCAGTAATCATGTTTTGTCTGAAGATGTCAAAATCCACCTCTAGAGATTTTCATCAAACTCACAGCAAGAAAATAAAAGAACAAATTTCTCAAAATGTCAGACTGTTCCTTTACGTTCTGTCTGTCATAGAAGAGGTACTTCTACTGATAAGATATGTGCTGAAGCTTTCTGTTATTGTCGTAGGATAAAGATGACGTAAAGCACAAAGATGAGAGGCCACTGAAGACTGAAAGGTATTGTCTGTTACACAGCACACACACAAAGAGTTCTTGTTCCTTTACCTATATATGTGATGTATTATGTTTGTGTGTGTGTGTGTGTGTGTGTGTGTGTGTGTGTGTGTGTGTGTGTGTGTGTTTAGCTGGTGGTGCCGTTGTGCCAAGGCCCTGCGGAAAGGAGTCAAGGTAGCAGGAATCATCACCCCTTGTGTCTTACTGTCTGTGGGTCTCATGGTCTACACGACGCCTGACTGCCTCAGTCCAGATCCTGACTGCAGCCTGTGGAACATCGCTTTTGACCTGCTGCTGTCCTACAGCGAGCTCTGTCACACACACACTCCTGTTTATTAAAATCTAGTTACACTTCTGTGATGTTGCACTGAGTTCTACTCTACATGAAGGCAAATGAACTTGCTTGAGGTTTTGGATGCTTTGTGTCTCATCATCTGAAAGGCTTCTTCAGTTCTAACTGACTGGTGGAGAATCCCAGGGGCCAGATGCACAAAACACCACACGTCTGAATTAAAGTTTCCTTAAAATAAAAAGAGTTGCTGTAATTTACTTAATTTTTTTCCTCAACAAAGGAAAACGTTTCAGAGATTCTATGCAACATCCTCACGTATGACCTTAACGACTCTAATGGTGAACGAGAGCCCAAAGAGAAATTGTGACAATATCCCTGTGGAACCACTGATTTTTGCATAAAACCCTTTAAACCCTAGGTTCTTCTTTCTAAGCATGTCTATGTGACACCAGATGGGACTCTGCTGAGAGGTGGAGCCCTAATTGCAGCACTCACCTTCTTGAAGTTAAGCAATGAAACAATAAATCAAGCATTAATTAATGATGCGATGTGAAGCAGATATACCAGAGATGGTATGATAATGAGGATTGTCTCCCTTTTCTGTCTGTGGACAGATGTTGTCACCATGATTGTGTCACAACCATGAAAAATACAGTCATGAAACTTTGGGTGTGTAGTTGAGATTAAAATGAAGGCCGAATATGAAGATAGGTGTGGTCTGACCAATTAGTACTGAGTTCTCATGTAATAATGTAGGTCTAACTACTGAGTACTGTATGCAGTAATAACTACTACTGTAACTAGTACTGCTGTTGTCAGTTCTTGGCGAAACAAAATAAATAAATAAATCTTAGTTTTTCCACAACTTTATTGATAATTTTGCTGACAATGTGACATTCCATATATCTGACATACAGAACATGTGTTTAAGCTTACATTTAAATTGTTTTTTTGTTGTTGTTTTTTAAAATTATCTTTATTAATCATTACATTAGACATACAAAATAAGGCACGAAAGTAGCCTAACATAACAGTTACAAAGACAAACAGATATACTGTGTCAGGGATTATATACAAAGTTTGACACAATCAAATGCAAACAACAAAACAAAACAACAAAATCGGTCCGGTTAAAAATAAACCCCAAAAAACCCAATATATATATAAAAAATTATATTCATATTTTAAATTTGGAGCCCAAATTGAAGGTTTTCAGTTTTCCTATTACATGAGGTAGATAATGTTCTAATATAGGACTCTGCTTCCTCCTTAAAGGTACAAAAGGAAAAGTTTAAAAAGTTATTTTTGTTTTTATTTTATTTTTAAGTCGCCGTTGTGACGTCATCACCAAGAGCCCATGACTAAATCAGCCGGGAGCGTCATTCATGCCGCCAGCGCGTCGAGTAGCCCCGCAGGTATGAGAAACCAGAGCAACAGCAAGTAAATTAAATCCTCTGAACCATGTTGACACAGCGTGGCTATGAAATTTATGAATGTTTGTTGGTAAAGTGATATCTACTCTACTGAAGAGAGAGTAAACCATCCTGCTTGTAGCAAGGGAGCTAACGTTAGCCAGGCTAGTTTCACATTTGAAGTTAGTTAGCTTGTTAGCCAACGAAGTTGCTGTCAGTGAGTCTTAAATCACTTGTGTGTAGACAAACTATCCAAGTGGTTAATACAGGCACGAAAATGAGCTCAAAACCTTTAAAAGAAAATAACCGTATGTGGCTTATGAGCTTGATGTTCCTTTCTTTGTCTGTCAGAGTCTGTGAAGTCAGTTCTGCAAACATAATGTTGGGTCAAATAACTTTAAAGAGCTGACAACAAAGTGGCTTTTGTGAAGGTCCTGCGAATGAATTCAATCTCAGTTTTTAAGCCAAAATGGAGGAAAAGTCCATTAAATACAGAAAAATGGAAATTTGAACATTTACGTTTCAATGACAACTGGAGGAGACAATGTGATATGATGGAAAGCTCCAGAACAGTTACTGAATGGACCATGTTTTGTCAGTTGCTATATATTGAAGGTAGGATTCAAGAATGAATTTTAAAGATGAAGATGCTGCTGTCTCAAACATCCTCATATATGTGACTTCACTTATCCTGTACTGTGGTTTTTGCAGGTTTAAACATGGATTTGCTGTATGGTCCATTGAGCTTGGGTGTAGTAGCAGGAGTGGGCTGTGGGCTGTTCCTCGGTTGGCACCTTCGGGGACGCTTCCGTCCAGCATCCAAAAGCATCATGGCGGCGATGGGGAACGGCACCAGTGAGGCAAGTGTGATGGGAGAAGGAGGCGAATTCAAGATGATTCTGGTGGTCCGTAATGACCTGAAGATGGGCAAAGGAAAGGTTGCTGCCCAATGCGCCCATGCTGCTGTATCAGCTTACAAGCAGGTCCAGCGCAGGAACCCAGAGCTTCTCAAACAGTGGGAGTACTGCGGCCAGCCCAAGGTGGTGGTGAAGGTCCCCGATGAGAACACCCTGATCGATCTGTTGGGTCACGCCAAAGAAGTAGGGCTTCCTGTCAGCCTGATCCAGGATGCAGGAAGGACTCAAATTGCACCTGGGTCTCGCACTGTGCTGGGTATTGGTCCAGGCCCAGCGGATCTGATTGATAGTGTTAGTGGAGAGTTGAAGCTCTACTAGGGTTCCAGCTTGCACCTGTTGGACTTGCATACAATTTCTTTGTTGTTAAAACCATTTGCAAAGTAAACTAACTTGAGCTACCATGAGTTTATATTTTTATATAAGAACAACCGACTCAATTACATGTCATCTACTTGAATTTATTGTGCAGTTCTGGGGGTTTTATAGCAGTAATAACAGTTTAATGTGTATTTCCTCTTCTTTTCTGAAAGCTATGACCTGGCATAAACACAGTCATGCTGCTGTCCTCCACGCCAACCAGTCTGAGACACGATGCTCACAGGAAACGGATGATAAACATGAATTGTGTCAAATATAAACAGCAAAGCAGTAATTGAATATTATTGTTGTTGGTCTCAGAATCACAGCACTGCAAAATGATACCGAGCTATGATCCCAAAATATGTTCTCTCCATGATAAAAATCACAATCTACAAAATAAATTCTGAAAGTTCATGAGTCTTTCTTTATATTAAGTATTTAGTACTTGAGAACACTTAGATGTAACATGACTCTGTATTGCAGCAGTAGAGCTGCTTGGATGTAATATCAATATTGCAATATGACTGGATGTCATTTGCGTTTTGTTGTGAAACTGACATTTTCTTATTTTTCCTTGTCTCAAATTCTGCATTATTTACAACTTTGTGTAGTAGTTTGTACATTTAACACAAGTGAAAATAGGAAAGAATTCCTCCACCTGAGTTATGTCCACATTGTTTTATTGTTTTCACTTTTCTCCTCTAAAAGAAACATTAATCACTATCTTCCAGCTGTTTTGAGATGTGATACAACAATATAGGGGGTAACTAAACTCACCAGACCAGATGTTTTTCTAGTCTGCTTTACTTGTAGCACCCTCTCATTTGTACCATCAGAGGGTGCTCGTGCTACATCCTTGTATTAAGTAAGTCTTGTATAACTCTTGAGCTGATACTGAACTGAATGTATTGTGACACAGGGTAGGCAAAGCAACAGGAACATGTTACAACAGAATACAATCCAACACCAGAGTACAGCTTCAAAAACTGGAGGGACTTTAAAGGTTAGAGTAGAATCAGTAGCATGTTCAAAAAGTGAGGTCTTTAAAACCTCTGGGTGTGAAACTGCTGAAGTGGTTTTAAGCTATGGTGAGGTCATAACTAGCACCGGTCTCAGATTGCACACCATCTCCCATTCACTTTCACTAAAAGCTATACAAAATCAATAACACATTTCCTGGGATGATCTGTTTCCCAGGTTCAACCTTTGCCCTGCAAATTTGCAGTTACACACAGGTACACTATGTTTGGAAATGGAGAAGTCATAATTCTGAGTGTATCATCGCATTGTTCTGTACAATGTTACATTTGACCACAAACAACCTCTTTCATACACTTTACAGCCTATGATTGCTCTGCTCACTATTTACCATTCATTTCAGAACCATGACCTCACTTCCCTTTTCTGGGAGTTGGTCGTGCACTGTGCAGTAAACTCATTGGACGGAAAGCTACAAAATAGTTCATGTAAGACACAATCAGACTGTTCTTGACAAACAAGAAGCCTTTATTGTTAAGTGGAAAACACAACCGCTGTTTCATTCATTATGATCCTGATTATGCACAATCAAGTTTCTTAAGTGCACAATTTAAATCTAAGGTAATTTAGATAAGAATATAAGTTCAAAGGAGTTAATGATTGATTTCTTGTATACACGCAAGCCTTTGATAAAAACCTCAAATTACCACAAGTCTGTGACACTGTTTCTGAACTGGATGAAAGGGTGAACTGAAAAGGTTAAAGGCAACTCTCCACAGGATGTGAGGAGAATCAAGTGTGAGAAATCTCTCCTGCACACTTAATAACAGTAACCTAAAATAATATCCAGCAGAAACAAACCGCAGCATAAAGAGGGGGGCCTGTTTGTCAAACACAAACAGGTCTGCAGTCCCTCCTGAGGTGGAATGGTCCCATGTTAGAGCAGTAATTAAAGCACATGGCAATGTCATCTGACTGCAGATTTGTTTGGAGAGTCCTGCATAGGCTTTGCTGGAAAGAATCAAACTTTCCTGACAATCGTATGTAAAATACTCTCTTGGGTTTTCTTCAAGAATTAGCCCTGAAGCGCGTGTGTGGGACTGGACAGGTACAACGTAGTGTTTCAGGATTGTGGTCATGGAAGCGGCAGTCTCATGTTCAAATATAGAAGAACATAGTAGCAGTTTTTGTGTCTGAATATACAATAATTAAATGCATTTTACAGTCGGACAGAAGAAGCGGCTCACACACATCAAAAGGAAGAGGTTCTACATTAATTTTTTCTCACTACAGAGTGCAAATCAGATGCTTCACAACAGACCTTTTTTATACTGAGAAGAGGACTAGCTCTTCCCACAAGCCCCCCATTGTACATAAACCATTTCCCATTCAAATAAAATAGACAAAAGAAAATTAATCTAGTCAACACGGAATGTGAGAAAATTAATCTTTGTGATTCAATCTTTTCTTTGACAACAGAAATAAAACTGAGTCCTTCATGACAGTTTAAAAAGGGGAAAAAACTGTAAAAAAAAAAAAAAAAAAAAAAAAAAAAAAAAAAAAAAAAAAGGTTTGCCGGCATTATCCCGAGCTCCCTGTAGAGGGCAGAGAGACAGAAGTGGTCTGGTGAAGGATTGTGGGAGATGGATGGATGGTCGCTCCAGCCTACATGTGGAGAGAAGGGGGTGGGGTCTTTACATGCCGTAGCCAAAGCCTGGCTGAGCTGCTGGCTGACCATATCCTGCAGGTGCCTGGTAGCCGTAGCCGTAAGGCTGCTGAGGAGCCACAGGTACACTGGGGCCTGCTGTCAGCATCAGCTGGGGTGTGCCTGCAAGACAGAGAGAGGGGGAGGGTTTCAGTATTCAATATTTTATTCATTCATTCATTTTCTACCGCTTATCCTCTAGTAGGGTCGCGGGGGGGGTTGGAGCCTATCCCAGCATCCTTTCCGGCGAGATCAATATTTTATGACAATTATAATTATATAATTCATATATATATATATACATATATATACTTTCATAATACTTTATAATTTCTTTTCAACTTCTGTTATGTGTCATGCCATCTACATGTGTCAATTAGTATCTTTACATACACACTAGTCTGTTGTTGTTGTCTGATGTTTATCCTGGTTTTAACCATACTATATGATGTTGAACTTCACCTGATTCTTCTTATCTCTGTATGACTCTTAACATAATCAGGTTATTGTTCCTCTGTATCTTTAAAGATCTAAATTACAAAGAGTCTGTTATTTCACTTCGGGCTGTTGTGACCATGTTTTATAGTACAATATTTATTTTAATTCTATTTTTTCCTTAACTATACAACTTTCAGTGCAAACCAAGAGAGAGGATGTCAGTGTGACTCTTTGGTAGCAAGAAGATTTAGACAGACACTCCTGAACCTCTGCATTAACAAAATACCACACGGACAGCAGCAGCACTGTAGAGGTGTGTTCACCTGCTACATGTCACTGAAACAGATACAAAACAAGTACTTCAATGCTGCTCGTCTACTGGATAACTGAAACTGAAACTAGACGCTATTTTCATGTATGTTGAGGCTCAGTGGGTCACTCACTCTCATTACATGACTCGAGCCGAAGACATAGCTGCACACATGCAGTATTATCCATATCCCAATTATGACATATGATTTTACGTCATGTTTGCACGGAACATAAGAAATGTGGTTACTCATGTGATATTCTTACATAGTGGTGAGTGAATGAAATGCAGGGTTGGAAAAGCGGGAAACGATAGGTTATGCATGGGTCAACAGAGTGTCCTTGAAATGGACAGGGCTCATTTGAACATATTACTATTTCTGTATGAAGCAACATTTCAATCAGAATCTGATGACAGAATGTGTGTTGTTTGGTCACTGTTAATTGAACCTAATCAACCAAACTGCCCTGATAAAGCACATTCTCTGGGTTTTAGAGTATTTAACTCTTAAGAGATAAAACCTGAAAGTTTTTTTTTAACTCTGATTGTTCATTTAATCATGAATATTTATAGAGAAGTTATAGAGAAATACTTAAACTGTTTATAGTTGATTTTTTTTTTTTTTTTTTTACAAACAAATGACTGTAAAACAATGTGACAGTGTGAAACTGATTACAGCGGCTTACAGTGAGTTTCTGCTGACTGTTTTTGCGGTCCAGCCCTCAACCTTTTGGGTCACTGCAGCAAATTTTCTGTGAAAAAGCTCAAACCTCACTGTACACTGCCTGGTCAGCACTGTTGATGACTGGCTGGTGAACATAGTGGTGCATTAAGCAGCTACAACAGCCAGATCTTTCCCTCAGGAAAAAAAGAGACCAAAAACAAAGCTGAAAGCTAAAAGAAAAGCTAAAGATAAAGGCTAAAAAACTCTGTTATTGCAGGTTTAATATTTGAAGTTTTCAGCAGTTCAATCAAAAGTTCTGTAAAGCTCAATGACAGCATGGAACCCTGGATAATTAAGGGACCTAGAGGTGTCATGTGTGGAAGAAGGCTGCTGCCTGTTGTGCTTGATCACAGTGAAATGCACATTAATGTCATTAATCTTAGAGGACTGTTACCGTAGACAATAGGTTGCGTCTCTGTTGCCTGCTCCTCCTCTTTCCTTAGGGACTCTGAGGTTTCTAGTTTATCTACCTGCAAGGCAAAGACATAAGAGCAGTTAGAATGAATCCAGACCACTTAATAAGTAAACAACAAACTATACAAGTTAAAAAAATTAGAAACAGTTAAACATACAATATATGTGTTTACTATTCTGTGATGGGTTTTCTGACAAGTAGAAGACTCATGTGGGACGCAGGACAAAACAAAACCCAACTGACAGGAACAGAAGACGGTTTCAGGTAAACCAGAACTATTTGCTTAAGCCTTTCACACTTTATCTGCAGCTGCAGATTCCTACATTTTGTACTGAATAGCAGTAATAATGCATTAATGAGTATTGTCCTCAACTCCTTTCTTGTGCCTATAATGCAAAGCATAGAAGTCCAACTAGTAATGCTAAGTGGTAGGAAACTGAAGAAGAAATGAGAAAAAAAGAAACTTAAACTAATCTTTTTCATTCATTATGTTAGAACTGCCTGGGTGGTCTGCCTGACAGTAACAACAGAAATATCAAATTCTTCAATAACACAGAAAAAGAACTTCTTCAGGCAGCAATTCAGATGCAACAATATGCAAAATGTGCTGAGGGGAAAGCAGCAGCACCTGGATGCAAATTATTTCTAGAGTTAAATGTAAGAGATGATCAGCAGTGCACGTATTATATGAATTCATCAATCAGTTCTCCATGCCCCTTTTTTCTTTTTTTAATCTGAGTTCTCTGCACACAATTCCAACAAGCTGATACTTCACTGTCCCATGCTCTAAGTGTTACACTGGCTGCAGCACTGAGATGCAGTTTGGGAGGAGGAGCAGGAGGAG